CGATGCCAAGATTAACCAAAAAAGCTCAAAATCGCACATTCTAATTAAATCCTACTTACAGGCTTTTGCAGTGTTACTGTCGATATGCAGATTTTACAACTAAGAAAATAAATATCGTACGTTATTTGCATTAATTATTCATGATTGGAACCCTCAAATGGAGGACAACTCCGAAAATTTGTTTTGGTAATATTTTAGTATAATAAAGACATAAAGGAATTATTTTTTCACAACATATATGTATAAAAGCAAAAAATAAATACTCTTGTTTGATAGATCAGAAATTTGAAATTTCTCATAATTTTAACGTACTGAAATTATTTTTTACTGCTCAAAAAGTAAGATGTAAACTTTTAAATTTTTGATGTCCATTTTCAAACTTTAAATCTGTCCGTTACGAACAATTAGTAAATAAAAAAAAAAATATAACGAAATAAAATTGAAATCATAAAAATAATAAAATTGAATTAAATAAAAATTCTTTTCATCTGCTTGTGACAAAACATCATTTAAATTATCTACTATTCCATTTTTTTTTTCAAAAAAGAATGCTGCATTATTTTTCTCACACAGCTTATCAACATACTTAAATTTAGTTCTTTTAAATGGTCAAATTCTATATTCCCAAAGATATACTGAATATTGTAAAAACGAAAGCAATACATGAAAATATATTATCCAACCTTATAACGTTAGATTAAAAGTATAATTATAATAATTAATATTAATTAACAAAATGTTTTATTTTTTCATAATTTAAAAAGACATGGGATTCTCTCTGAAATTTCCGGACTGAACTGAAAAGTAATATTGATAATCTAATTTCCTAGTAATAATGATCGGCATTAATTTAAATTCATGACAATTCCTTTATATTAATTAAATCATAATTATGAGTTATGCTTTTAATGGGAAATTATTTTTTTTCTTTTGAATACCAATTTCATATTACTGTTTGAGTAAATGCACATATATAATCAATATGAAAAATTAAGTAAATTAATTATATGTTTTCCATATATTCTGAATAACACGAATTCAGGGACAATACATATATAAATGTTATTCAGTTAGCTTTGCAGAGCTGAGGAAGAGTGGAGGGAGGGATGTTATGTTTTATCATGACTTTTAACATCAACATGTCTGGCGCATGTTGAGTTTGGTTTCAGTGTTCCAGGCCCGACCGAGATTTGTGTTTTTGAACAGTAAATTCGTACTGCACAAGCGTCCTTGGTTACAATTAAAAAACATATCAAGCTATAATTATCTTTTTCCATAATTCAGTTTTGGACTTTATAGTATTGGACATTATCTTTTTTACATTTATTCACTTCCATTAAGGGCAGTATAAATTAATTTAAAAAAAAAAACTTAACTTGTTCATGACTGAACCTTAAAGAAAATATTAACTGAATCAAGAGGGAGACGAAGATTCCCCCAATAACAATCAAAGACTAATTTGAATTATTTGTACTGGCCATAAGGCAAGTGAATAAATGTAAAATACTTTTATCAACATATTATTATGAGCACTTTATGAACAAAATATTATTATTATATGCACCGCATTAAGGAGTACATTTATTTATTTGTTATATCTCTATTCTAGTACGTCATCGTCTTCGCCGCAGTGGTCGCCGTGGCCTACGGCCAGATCCTGGCCCACGCTCCAGTCGACGAGTACGACCCACACCCATCCTACTCCTTCTCTTACTCCGTCAACGACGCCCTGACCGGAGACTCCAAGGGACAGACTGAATCCCGTGACGGAGATGTCGTCCAGGGAAGCTACTCCGTCGCTGAACCTGACGGTTCCGTAAGGATTGTTGACTACACCGCTGACCCAGTCAACGGATTCAACGCCTACGTCCACAAGGATGCCCCAGCCGCCCACGCCGCCCCAGTCGCTGCCCCCATCTACGGTTAAACACACTTCACGCCACTAATTACTTGTTATTTCATGTTCAGTTGTTGTAAATAAATTATTCGTTACAGTCAAAAATATCTTTTTATCAAAATCAAACTATTTCCTTAATGTCATGTTTGTATATTGTTTATGGTACTTACAACAATAACAACTAATTTATTTAGAAGTGTAAAATTCAAAGTATCATTTGAGACTAATTTTCATACTATTGACTAATCATAAAAAGTAATCATGACTAAAAATTAATTATTAGCCAAAACTAATATAAACGACTGATTGGAAAATAATGATTACTTTATTCACTTGAAACGAATTATGACAAAGGTTTCAGTCGTTATTCATGATTAATATTTTAGTTGTATTTGTGTTAAACTACTAATATATATAATAAAACTTTGTGAAACAAGTAAAATTCCAGTATAAACAATCGATTATTTCAATTTTAAATCAAAAACGGTGATCCATCCTCCATCAACAATTATTATTTAAACGGAAATGAAGAAACATATTGAATTAAAGCAAACAACTTCATATCCCTTTTCCTTCCCGTGTCTTTTAATATTTCCGAATTTCATTCCTTCAATTTTTATTTTCCATATTTCAGTTTACACAGATACATAGAAATTTACCATGAATTTAGGACGCCTGTTATCATTTATTTATTCTATTTTAAATTGGTGGCATTGTCTTGTATTTTTGTCTACAGTTGTGGATGTATCTGTGCACGATTTTTTTTTTTTTTTGTTTGTGTATGTTATGCAATGTTGATGGCATATTGTAGTTTATTGGGCTTGGTGAAGTTGTTAGGTTATATTTTATAATACTAGATTATGATGAGGAAGAATAAGAAGGATATATATATATAGGATATATATTTATCATATTTACCAAGTAATTTATTTTTCTGTTGGCATTACAGACCATGTAGATCTTTTGTTGCCCGAACAAGCCAGCTCCATCTCTGCCTCTCTTGGGCTATTTTTTCCATTTATCTGCACGCAGCTCTGTTGGTTCTATATATCCATCTGTTGTTTGGTGTATATATATATATATATATGTGTGTGTAGTATTATTCGGATTTCAATTAATTATGTTAATTATGTTAATCATGTATTTAAATTAATCAAAATTTATATATGTTTCTAAAAAATATATAAAATATATTTTAATAATGTGCTGCTGAATATCATGCTTGACAGAACCTATTTTGTTTCAGTTATTCATTGTGAATTTAATTGAAGTATCATTTTTAACCGCCTTCAGGAAACAAACAAGTTCTTCATACGTTTTTTATGCACATATCTATCTATGAATCAAAACAAATAAAACTACATTTGAAGTAAAATTTAAAATGACATTTGTCCACATATGTTTCTGTTAGTAAATGTCTGTGTTTAGTTTTGCTCTCAGTTTTAGTTTTGAAGATTTGGAAAAAAGTAAGTAAAGTATTTATACTCATCATAAATATACGGTATGACTAAAAAGACCCACTTACAAAAACATCAAACTTTCCAATCAAAACTAAATCACCTTGGTATGTGACTAACAATGCCTCACACACTGATTGCAGCCTGCCTGTAGTTGACCAACAAATAAGCAATCTTTACAAACGATTTCATACTGATTTTCAAGGACAAGCTAACATACTAATCAGAGATATGAGATTCAGCTGACATGCCAATAAATACGAGGAGGAGGCTAAAACATCGCTGGATGAGAGAATCCATTTTTTTAAACAAACCATGATACTTGATTCAAGCCAGAGAAGAGGTGCTGCTGGGTGCTATCCTTCCCCATGCCAGATATGTAAGTTTTATTACATTCATCAAACCATCTGCTGATTGTAAACAGCCCGTCGATAGGCGCAGATAAATATTTCAAGAAAAAAAATGACGTGTAATATATATAATAGTATCCAATATGTATTATTAAATATTTTTGCTTATTATGTTGTTATGAATATTCTTATTATTTCAGTCAGTCCTGTAATTTATGTAATTAATGTAAACCTGGTATGACATATTGATGTTTTGGGAGAATTGTGGCATCGTCAGCGTAAGAAGCTTGAATGTCTCTTTAGTAAAAATAAAGTCCTAAATGTATAAAATATAATGTAGAGAGCCCAGTATTGAACCTTGCAGTCCTCCTTCCAAGAGGAATTTACGATAACTGATCCACTAAGGAAAATCAGTCAAAGAGAAAAGATTAAGGTTTTCGCATAGTCCACGCAATTATCTATAATGTTCATAATTGTCATCTCTACTTTTGAGTCTAGGATCCTCAATGCTCCCTACTTTGTTACAAATAAAACCATCCATAATGACCTTAATGTTCCTTTTGCTTCAGATCTGGCCTAATCCAGATACCTATCCTTCCATAATAAACTTCAGAATCATCCCAACCTCCGAGGCGTCTGAAAAGAAGATGGCCCCGTGATCTCCTATTGTAAACATATCATTAGAGTGCTACCATTTAGTAGTTACTCAGCAAGTGTGTTTCATGTCATTATATACATTATGTTCTAATTTAATAGATGTATTTATTTAATACAGTTGTAAATATCATTAATAAATATAAAAAAGAAATAGTTCTACGAGGTTGTGACTTTTTATTCTATATTTTGTCTGTAGTCGACTCTGTATGACGGGTTTAATCTGTACTCAGACAGTGTAGTATATTTATGAAATACTTTTTCGAATTTTTCGTGCATTTTTCCATGACACGACTTTCAACATAAAAAAAAAAAGAAAAAAAAAAAGAGTCTAGGTAATATGTATATTATATTGAAATCAATTTATTTTAACATTATTATTATTATTTATTTTATTTGTAAATTTTAGTTTTTAAAAACACATGATTATTTTGGACGGCCGAAGAACGCAATATAGCTAAACTGGTATCCGGTGTTTGATATCATAAAGTAAAGTAGTGGATTCAGCTTGGTAACTTGGTAACTCATGCAAATGACTTCTTTCTAATGCCTATGTAAATTAGTAAATCCTTAAATATATTTCATTGCAAAGTGGACCAGTGATTAGACATCCTTTTTTCTATTAGTGCTTCTACACGGACATCAGCTCAACAAAAATTCTAAAAATAAAAAAAAAATTGATTAAAAAATTAAACATATTTTTGATTTAAACAAATAATTACAAGTGAATCTCATTAAATAAAAATTACATAACATTTTAAAAAAATGTACTTTTTATCAGTAACTTTATCTTTAGTTTCGTCTAATTTTAGATATTTTTTGCAACAACTATGCTACCGAAAAAGAAAGAAAAGGGAAACAAAATGAAACAACAATTTAATAAACAATAAATAATGTATAACAATAAATAATATATAACCAAATAAAATAAGCACCAATACCAGGAATTTGTACGCTATTGTAAAAATAAATAGTCGCCAATTAACTTGGTAAATACTAACCAGCACCCTAGAAAAAAGTGTTGAAAGATTTGAGAGAAAAATCTTCCGCACGATCTGGGATCAGAGTACTAACACATGGAGAAGAAAGACCAATAAAAAACTGCTTACAGAAACTGGTCAATCAATATCTCATGATATGAAGGCACGGAGGTTAAGATGGGCGGGACATATAGCTCGTAGCAATCTACCTGGAAGCCTCTACGTAACTATAAATGCCTCAATAGAAGGCAAAAGACCAGGTTGGAGACCAAACATCAGATGGATATATAGAACCAACAGAGCTGCGTACAGATAAATGGAAAAAAAAATAGCCCAAGAGAGTCAGAGATGGAGCTGGCTTGTTCAGGCGACAAAAGATCTACATGGTTTGTAATGCCAACAGAAAAATAAATTACTTGGTAAATATGATAAATTATTGAATTATCATCACATTAACATGTGAGTATATATTATCTACAACTCTTAATGACAATCATGATGGATACCCTGATTGATGGATCCAGTATAATACAATCCACTCTTTGAGTAGTCACGGATAAATACCAATAGCAGATTAAGAATATAATTTAGGGGAGGGGAGGAGAATAATACCGAAATTTTGGATTTAGATATATCAAATTAAAACAGGATTAGACACCAGATTAAAAACTAAGTTTTTACAATATTTAATTAGTGAATTTGAATCATCCGTAATGCTTTTTTGATTTAATTCAAGTACAAGAAAATTTTTTTTTTTAGAAATAAAATGTTGACAAAGGGTTTATTAGCTAATGTAGTTTTTAACTAATCATTCAAATAGATTCCGCTCCTAGTAGTGAACATATTTTAATTACTCAGATATTTATTTCAGACCATTCATAAAAACAAAAATGCACCAATATGAAAATAAATTATTTTAGGGAGAGAGCTTCAGGCTGAAAGTTCTACCTCACTTGAATTCGCTTGTTCATTGAACACCACAGCGCTAGTGGTCGTTATCAACATCTTATAATTTTATAATAAAAGTACAATAAATAGGTATTCTATGACATATGGATGTACCCTCAACTGAAGTTTCATCTCATTGCAATGGGTATCAAAACTACGACCTGCGGGTCAAATCTAGACCGCAATCACAACCCATTCGGCCTGCCGTTGAAATTTTGATTATATTTTGAAATTTACAATGTAAGTAAATTATAAATTAAAGATGTACAACAGACATGCATAAGAAACTGAACATTTTAACTGTAATTTATGCTATGATAATAGTAATGTGATGAGCCTCGGAACTAGGTAGAAGAACCTGCGTGGTCTTAGATCATAACATTTGGAGTCTACTAGTAAACTTGATAATTCAAGTCAAGCAGATAAGTAAGCTCGACAAATATTGGCTAAGTTAAAGACTTTAATTTAATCGCATTCCTCTACTTAGAGTGGGAATTTACGTGAACTTTCCTGTTTATTTGGGAATATTCAGTTATGAAAACTATTAAGATGACATTATCTAAGTTCGACCAATAATCAGGATTTGCTGTCTTTATATGGTTTATTACACTTGTCAACGTTGCGAACCAAACATGCGAGTCATCATCGGGGCAATTTAATTTAATTCACTTATTAAATTCATGATTTCAAAATTTTAATAGTCAACAAGATATATCCATTAATAAAATGCATGCTCGTTAAAATTTTTTATTATTATTCTATTTAATTATATTTACATTTAAATTTTGAATGTAAAACTTTAGAATCCTGAACATCTCTGAGCCTTTTCGCAAAATACCGAAAGTGAAGGGTCAATTGCACTTTTTTTCGACCACTGATCCTGTTTGGGGAGATGTCCCCATCAGAAGAAGAGCAGGATGAGCAGGGATGTTGCAAACACCTGGCTATATAACTTCCATCGGGTGTCAATAGCGTCAGTCTCCATCTTAACCCAGCATCAACATGGTCGCAAAGGTAAATATACAATTTTATAGCTGTATTTTAATATTTACTCTCCTTTATGGAAAGTTATAATTTACAATATTAAAAAAAAAAGTATCGAACTAGAAACTAATTTAACTATGGATTATTTTCCCCTATCAAAAAAAAAAAAAAAATTAAATGAATACATCACAAAAATACCTAAAACACTAAACATTATGGCAAAGATTGGATGGTGTGGCTAGAAAGAATTTTCCTTACCCATCGGTTAAATATTAGGAACCAAGTCATTTAGAAAAGAAAAATATAGAAATTTTTCAAATAATTTATTAGTCCTCTACAAATGACCATTGATACTTACCAAAGCTCACGTTTCATAATTTTTCTTATTCGATGACATTTTTTGAAAATATAACGAATTGTATATTGCTATGATTGGGGAGTCAAGTCCATAATGGCGAAAAGTATCATTTTGAATTCTTATAAAACATAATTTAAATTATCAGAATCTAGTGCAAAGCCGATATTCATTTTTAATGGACACCTCTGTCTATTTTGGTTATGTACTCTATGTTTAATTTGTTTGGATAGAAGAAATATTAATAATTGATCACTGACTATATTAATTTAGTTTTAGAAATTTATGTAAACTTTTTATGGCCAAATATCTAATAACCCAAAATCGTTATTAGTACTATTTTTCTCAAAAAGAAAGTGTTTTATAGTAATTATAATTTTTATAAATTACTATAAAGGTAAACACTGGTCACTATAGGAATTCTTTGATCATATAACATATATGGATAATGTAATTACCTATGGGAAGGATTATAATAATATTAGTGATGGTTATTAAATCCCAAGGCTATCTACTTCTAGCTTCCTAGTAGAAATTTTAGGAACTAATTAGGAACACGAAATGGAATTATCGATATTTATTTTTAGATTAAATCAAAATAATTTCAGAAAACCTTACATTGTGAACATTTGAAAATGGAATGATTGCTTCGGTTTATTGGAGCCTTAGGCTCAATTTTTCGTGTACAAATGGTCATGGTAATGAGTTTTTGATAAATCGGAAGTAATGTTATTCGTATAACAAATTTTGAAATAGTCGGAAATGACGAATTGTTTCTGGTCTAAAGTCATTTGAGGGGTTTCACAGTTTCTCAGCTCGTACAGATAAAATCCATACTAACGGTTCTGTACTATACTTGGAACAGTATTAGAAATTTCCGTAGAAATGAATGTAATGAAATGGAAATAGATTTTTATTATTCTGGGAATATTGTCCCTTTAGGACAAATTATAGATACCGAGAAAATATTATCAAAATAGAGAATTTCCATTTCGAATGTAAATGAAACATAAACATTTTCTTAACAGGCCACCCTCATTATCTTATCATTGGTCGCTGCCTGCAAGACTCAGCTTTTGGTTTATCCTAATAATATATATTTTTTATTGTGTGTTCTAGTACGTCATTGTCTTGGCAGCAGTGGTCGCCGTAGCCTATGGTCAGATCCTGGCTCATGCTCCAATCGACGAGTACGATCCACACCCATCCTACTCCTTCTCCTACTCCGTCAACGACGCCCTGACCGGAGACTCCAAGGGACAGTCCGAGACCCGTGACGGAGATGTCGTCCAGGGAACTTACTCCCTCGCCGAACCCGACGGTTCCATCAGGACTGTAGACTACACCGCAGACCCAGTCAACGGATTCAACGCTAACGTCCACAAGGATGCCCCAGCTGCTCATGCACCAGTTGCTCCCATCTATGGTTAAAACTCAAGGAAAATAGGAATTGTTTTGTTAATAAAATATTTTTACACCAATTGTTGTTGATCATTTAAAAAAAAACTTACAATATACTAATCCCCATATACTTGTTCAGAAGTTCAATCCTTTGGTGACGAGATAAAGTAACTTGAATTAATCACAAGTAGGAGAAAATATGATACTTTTAACATTATTTTAGGAACGTTGAGTGAAAGTTATTTAATTTTCGATTAGTTTTAAGTATATTATTTGAAAATAAATCCTTGAATAACAATTTAAATAAGATGCAGAAAAACATAAATTCAAGTATTGCAATTTAAAATGTAATTATCATTAAAAATCACTAAGCAACACATTTTGGGCTTGGACATTTGGAAGTGGGCAGACAGGCGAAGATATTTTGAAAACTGTATATTCAAAATTTAACCTGATTAAAATAATTTTCATATCTAATAGACGTAGAAATGTATGTCAGCATATGAAAGTTATACATAAATTTTATCTAAACAAAAGTTTCCAAATGTCAAGAATATGGATAATTTGTCCCCATACTGATTTATCTTTTTTCTCGAATATACAAAGTGTATATATAAATACAAAAAATACTAAGGTGTTTGCTTTAGACCACACGATAGAAGTGAAATCATCAACAAGACGAGATAATTAATACGAAATCTAAATTATAAATAATATCCCATTATAAAAAGGATGGAATGCTGAATATGGAACATGGAACGCTTACAGTATGTAGGTCCGATTTAAATTTATGTTATATTTTAATTCATATCTTTAATAAAACTGGCTATAATTTGATTTTTAACATTTATTTATCTTATCGCCTCTCTAACACAGCGTACACAGGAGCTGGTCCATTGCGTTAAGATGTAATTTTTAGTAATACCTCATTACAAAGAGAATGGAATGATGAACAATTTCCACGCTTACAGTATGTATGTCCGATTTTTTACATTCTGAGATTTTTTAATCCAAATGCAAAAACACTTCAATAACTTGATTCCAGGAGATTTTAACTAGTGTTATAGTCCGTGGTACAGACCCCTTTTTATCAAATTATTAATATTTGCCTGAAACTTCATCACATCGTAACCTACAGATATTTTATTACAAAAAATCTCGTAATTGGGGCATTTTTAATCTGGAGATCGGCCAACTTTGCCTATTTAATTACGTACTAAAAACTCGTGATTAAGATACTCATTTCTCTTTCACTTGAATCGTAAGATAATTTGAGCAAAAAGTCGAGAAAAATATTGAGGACCTTCAAAACTATTGAGCCGTTTGTCGTGAACTACGCCCCTAAATTGTCAAAATATATAGGACTAACGGACAAATGTTTTTGTAGGCCACTTTTTTTATCTATTTCGTGACTAAATTATCTTACGATCCAAGTGAAAAGCAAATGAGTATTTACGAGTGTTTAGTACCTTTTTAAATGGAAAAAGTTTTTCGACCTGCAGATTGAAAACGGCCCAATTCCGAGAATTTACGTAAATATAACATTTGTAGGTAACGATGAGATGAAGCTATTTATGAAGTTTCAGCCGGGTGGCAATAATTTTATAAAAAGGTGTCTGTACCACGGAAATTATTCATCCGAAATCTGATGGCAATATTCTGCAAAACGCGACTAAAGAAGTTTCCATTTAAAAAATATGATATATATCGCTGAAATTTTCAAATAACGTTCCTCTTTAAATGATAAGGATTATTGAAAAATGGAGATTGGCTTGTTCTAATAAGAGGTTTTTAGAAGAGTGGAATACTCATAAGTATGTGGAAATTATCTATAGTCCAACCAGTGAAAAAAGAAAGAAATAAAGAAACATCCAAATAGATTTATGATTTAATGATGTTTATGGAAATTGTTTTATTGAGTTAAGATAAGTTTAAAATTATCACGCATTTAATAAATTTATTTTTATTCCAAATTTTCAATATACTGTTAGTACTTTGGTGGAAAATAAACATCGTTTTCTCTATTTTTTACTCTAGTTAAAATAGTAGTTTGAACATATTAGCGGTCCCTCAACATGTTTCACAAACTTCTACTGAGCCCTTAAGCTCCCTAAAGCCATAACATAAATTATTACTTAATAATGACATAGAGGCGCACCACGGACAGGAACAAGCTCATATTTCGTTACTAAATACACCCAAAACGTTCTTTTTTTATGATATCCTCTCTTGAAATATGTCAAGTAAAACAGTAATGCTTATACAGATAATTTTAGAAATTAGTTATTTAAATTGTGAGAGGTTCCGATTAATTTTCGTCCTTCCAGGAATCTTCTATTTTCACTTTTAATTTTAGCTACTGGGAATTCGGGGAACCAATTTTCTTAGAAAGTAAATAATAAATTATTAGAAGCAAAACAAAACTCTTCTGTCCACCTTTATTTTTTTTTCTTTTCAAAATGAAACTTATCTTAATTATTTTACTTTCGTGTAAATATTTTTAGGCTTTGATAAATTTCAGAGCTTTGCTTAAAATATCAGGTATGTCAGTTTGTTTGAACACAATTATTAAATAAAAAAAATATATATATATATACTTAAGTAATAATTAAACAAAAAATTGATGATATATTAACATCCGAGTTGTAATATTAAATATATAGTTACAGACAAAAAGTGTCCAAAATAAATGAATTATTAATCATAGGAGAATGGGACTGATATTTGTGAGATTTTCAAAAGGTATAATTAGATCACATTTTTTTAACCGTTAATAGAAATTTCATCCTTCATATAGAATATATCTGTAATAAGTAAATTATATATTTCATCAAATAAATACTTTTACGATTAATTAATTACAGTGAAATAAATTGTTATGTAAAACAAAAATAAAATCGTCCATATCGAGATAAAAGGTCTTGGATTTTTTTTAAGTTTAACCAATATTACCAAAATTATGTAAAATACTGTTTGAGTATGACTTGGTATCTAAAACATAAATTTACCTATATATTAGTCTTTTTTTGTTTCCTTACAGTTCTAGTAAGGCTAACACTTTGGTGAAATTAGCAGTGCATATTTATGGTACATATCTTATACTTTTTCGATTTAGATGTTTTTAGCATTATTAAATTTTGTTTTATTGATATATTTAAAGTGGCTTAAATTAATCTAAAATCGGAAGGGAAGTAGTGTTACATCGTACTACAAATAAATGTACATATGTTCTAATTCTTATACTAAACAAAAACAAAACAAATAAACCAGTATGATGTAATGAAATTAAAATAAAATAAAATCCATAAGTAACAATTCACTTTCTAGAAAGGCGATTTGGTTCCTTTGCGAAAATCCAAACAGGTCCAGAAGTAAGTATTTGAGTAATATAATCTCTTTAAAGTTAGAAATGTAAGCGGTTGATTGTAATCTGGGAGGATTGAGTATTTATAGGACAATCATCGTGTATTTAAATAAAACCTATCACCAAACTAATGATTAATGAGTGATGGTTATGCCAATGATTATGGATATATGCATGATATAATTAATGGGAATTATTCCTAAAAAAAATTATCATTTTCTGTAATTTCATTTTTTTATAATGTTTGAAACGTCGCTTCGACAACCAAGACCATTAGCTATAACGGTTGTTCTTGAGTATAATGAACCAATTTTGTTGATTTTAAGTATTTAAGAGTTGTTTCAATACCACTTCTTTATTTATTTGGCAGCTAAGGAGTAAATCGTTGGCATAAAGGAATCCTTTTACTGGTAAGTAATTCTGCAGGCTTTCATTTATTGCTATTAGAAATAGAGATACACTAAAGACGAGGTACTTGAGGTACTCCATTTTCTTGTTCAACTGCATATGAGAGAACTTCAGTCATCCTTACCCGAATTACCCTTTAATTGAGACAATTTCTAATGAAATTAAAAATTTCCTCATATATTATTCAATATTTATTTATTTTAAGGAAGAGTTTGTGTTATTTCAGATATAAAGATGAAACATGTATACCTTACGCCGTTTTATTAATTTTTTTCGATTATCGGAGGTTGCAAAACCGTATCATATTTCTTTTGTATGTCAAGGATGACTGCGATTTAATTAACGTTTTCTGAAAATATGTTAAGAAATTCGTTAATAATAATAACTAAGTGATGAATAAAACCTAATTACAGCGTGAAACTTACTCGATTCCCATAGAATTATTCCTTATGCGTCAAGATACCAAATGATTCTTTTATTTATGAACGATTCCATCAGCTTATACATTGTGCACATCAAGGATAGTCTACAGCTTTGCGGGTTTTGTTTAGTTTTATTTAGTTTTAATAGTAGGATAACAGTAGATTTTTTCTGACCATAAATAAGCTGTAATGTCAGCGAAGTAAATAAAATAAACTAGTTGTATTTTTGTTAATTGTAAATTTGTTAATAATTTCTTGAAAATCGATATTCCTATTTCTATGGAATTTATTTTGAAAAAAAGGCTGCTGACAAAAGAAGCGAATAACGCTGATGGCAGCAATGCATTTCGTGGCCAATAGCGCTCATGGCCGAAATGCATTTCGCCATGTTTAAAAGAAAAACGTAATAACATCTGCATGAAACTGAGGTAAGTAACTAGGAAACTACCAGCTCATCCAATAATTATTAAAAATGAAGATCATTCAATCACCTTCGGACGGACATTGAAGAACAACATTTGGTAAAGAAAAGGAAGAATACTTTAATCGGCCGAACTTTCCAGATGGAGACATCTGGCGAAAGAACTGCCATTTTGTGTCAAATATTTCAGCTACATCTACCAATCCATTTCAAGTATCACATCGTTTCTCAAGAGCCACAGGTTTATTTATAATTCATGATGACTTTGTTGTTGTGTACATTGAGTGAAATTATATCGAAGGTTACGGTCACACGTAGAAATAAATTGAGATAATTGGGATCTAGTAAGTGAGAATTATTAGTAATTTTAAACCCTTTTATTGATAACTTATTTTAAAATTTGTACATAGTTCAAGATTGTAAAGGTATACGTGTATATTACATCATTGTATATAAGTATTTTAAAATACTTAATTTAGCTGCTAACTTTAATATATTTCCAAATATTTGTGATAACTTAAAACACTATGGAGAGACTGACTAAAATAAGTAATTATTAATGAAAGAAACCTGGAGCGCCAGCATAACCAAGTGGACTAGAATATGCCAATGGAGCGTGAGCTACAGTGGCGACTGGAGCGTGGGCGACAGCGACTGGAGCGTGTGCGACAGCGACTGGAGCATGTGCAACGGCTACTGGAGCAGCATGAGCAGCTGGAGCATCCTTGTGCACGTTTGCGTTGAATCCGTTGATGGGGTCAGCGGTGTAGTCAACGGTTCTGATGGAACCATCGGGTTCGGCGAGTGAGTAGCTACCCTGGACGACATCTCCGTCACGGGTCTCGGTCTGTCCCTTGGAGTCTCCGGTCAAAGCGTCGTTGACGGAGTAGGAGAAGGAGTAGGATGGGTGTGGGTCGTATTCGTCAGCGACAGCAACTGGAGCGTGGGCAACAGCTACTGGAGCGTGAGCGACAGCTACTGGAGCGTGAGCGACAGCCACTGGAGCATGTGCTACGGTGGCTACTGGAGCATGAGCGACAGCCAAAGGAGACGCATAAGCAGAACCGGCTAGGTATTGAGGAGCAGCTGAAGCTGCGGAAACTAAAGCTACTAAGGCCAAAATTTTCTAGAAAAGGGATAAAATTTACATAAATTAAATAAATAAGTAGATTTCCAAATAATCGAAAGTTGAAAGTTTTTTATATAGAAAATATTATAATAAATAAAATTACCACAACTAAATAATATAATTATTTGACAGAGAATAAACAGTTCTTTAACGGTAGATCGTAAATGAATATATATATAATAAATAATGTTTTTATTTTAAGTGCTTCTTCGATTGCATTTAACTTAAGCTCATAAATTTTTTTAATATAATAATTTCAATCTTATTGTAATTGAAATATTAATTTTTTTTTCGAGAATTATTCTAAAAGGAATTCGAATATTACTGAGTAAATAATATGAATAACATGATTTTTTTTTTATGAAAGTAAAATTAAAAATAAAATAAAAATACTAGAGAATATACAGAATGGGTATATAATTAAGCCACGTTGAAATAATTAAGTTATGCAGTTTGGAATTTTTTTTTGTTGACTAATTGCAATGGTGCATGTTAGGGATCTAAAAAAGTAAAACTGTTAAAAATGTGTTTGTAAAATATGGAAGCAAATAATTAAGTAGAAAGTAATTGGTTTGGTAATAATATATTACAGGATCTGATGACAAAGAGACATAAAAATTTAATCAATATTTAAATTCTGAGATTTAATAATTATTACTTTTTTCAGTTGGAGTTAATTATACATGTTCTTTGAAAAAAGTAATAATAGTTTTTTGTAAAGTTAAGAATATTTTGATAATAGACAGCTTACCACGAACATGGTGATGATGGTGCTGGAATTTCGATTCTGATTTCCAGCCATGTTGGCTGGGTTTTATAGAGAATCAAAAACCCCACCAGAAAGAGGATTGTGTGTGGCAATCTGGAACAGTATTGCGAGGGATTCTCCAAATTGTATCTGGGGCAGCTAAATCACGAGGTAACCTTCTCTACTGCCCAGCCAGCGCTTAGCAATGTCCCATGCCATTGTTCTCAAGTATTTATCCCTACCGGGGCGAAATTAAAAATAATAATGAAATAATAAAAAAATAAAATACAATTAAAACAACAATACTGATGAGAAGGAAAGCTAATTCTATCCGGCTGCTAACCGGAACGAGCAATGGTAGATAATTGATGTAATATATTTTTTTTGGAATGTTTAAATAAATTTTCTACAGATTAAAAATGGCTCATTTGTTAAATTAAAGTTGCTATATATACATTATTATATGTGTATATTTTATTTATTTTATTTTATTTTAAATATGGTAAGCGTTTGTTTTACAACTATAATACTCATTGCCCCTAAGTGTGGTAAAATGAATTATATCTCAATAACAATATTTTAAAAAAAGGTTTATTTATTATGCATGTATTATTATACTGATGCTGATTTCCGAACGATGTGGCGGATTGTAATATTTGTCCACAAACACGTCTTAATAAAAATAAATTATACCATATCCAACTTTTTCTTATCAATATTCAATATTTGATTATTACTTTTGAGATATTGATCAATCAACAAATTATAAGTGGTTTAAAATTATTATTTATACGAAAAATTCACTCTTCATGTAATTTTAAATCGTTCCGTTATGCATATTAATAATATTTTGTTTAAAAATATGTTTAAAAATTGATGATTTTCGTTATCCGGCTTTGCAACGGTTCTTGCATTTCAGAATGAATGTTGGTTTTCAAACTTCGTCTTTTGATAAAAAAAAAGTTCATATTTGAAATATACACTTATACTAACACATTGCTCGAATTTCGTTTATCTAGTTCTTTCTTTTTTTTTACTTTATTTTTTATTTTTTATTTGTATTCGCCTCTATCCTAGAGGGTCATTGGTGGTAATCTAGTTCTCTTAACAGTTAATGAAAACACGATAATAATAATTGGGTTTTTACCACAAACGGAAGTTTGACTAATGCATATCTAATGCCCCTTACATCTTTATAGTATGGAGAATTTAGATATTATTCTTACCAAAATAAGCTAATTTAAATAAAATATTTGTATTCCAGAAATTGGTTTTAATAATGTTTTTCGACATGAGTGTATGTTGCTAAAGCGATCTTTCTCAATCACCATTGGGTTGAGCACCAATGACGTGGTTGAGGGATCTCCGGGATTTCTTTTTTAACATCTATACTTGGAGGAATACGCCTAGGCTTGGAGTTGCCTACCCTGATTGTAAATAGTGGATATAGTTTTATTTTATTTTTATTAATTGTATTCACTTTTTGATTATTATTTTGCTTCTATATATTTTATGTTTTCTGTATATGTAGTGTGAAAATAGTCTTAGTTCACTAATTATTGTCCATGTTACAGCATTTTGCATTACTCAATAAATAAAATAAAAAGTTAATGTTTTTTCCCAATTCAATGTTTTTTGTGCTTCTGAATATTCATTGAATATTTTGGATGTCAAAGGTCTAAACTTAAAATATCTTATGCTGTGATTAATAACTCGAAGTAGCTTTTGACTCGAAATAATATGGATTCTTGGATGGAATCAGGAATCAGGATCATAGATGATATTTCAGGGCAGCCGTATTCGGAAGTAACCTTTGTTAGAATAGCCGCTCTTTCGCTAGAAATGATTAAACTGAAGTGGAGTATGATCATTAAAAGAAAAAAATAATAATTATTCTGTGAGCATATTATAAATGTATTAATATTTTCCCAGTTCAATCTGTCCCTTGTTCATAGCAACTTTCTTATTCAACATAAGAATTTCCAATAATGATCCTTCGGCACTGGCATTTTTTCCCCAAAAGGTTTCGGTGTAATTCGGTAAATTTTCTGGTTCGTAATTCGATTCTCTTCTTGCATTATTAATATTTATTTTTCGGCAGGATCAAGAAATTAATCTTGATACTGCCAGCCAAATTAGTGGGAGATGGCAACCTCGAGATAGCAATTAGATTATGGCAAACAGGACCAAAAGGCCCATTTTCCGGACTTGTACCTCCACCAGTAACTGTAAGGTGGCAGGTGCATTTGAAAATTCTATAACTATTTTTTTTTTTCAGTTTTGTACATATGTACAGGTACATTACAATTTGTATAGCATTAAAACACATCTCTTAAAAATGTAATGTAAAATTAAATAAGATGAACAGCGTTGGAATAGAGAGAGACAGAGATAGAGGAAAAGATAGTTGAAAGAGAGAATATAGATGAGGTAATCTTAGAGGCGACGACAGAAAGGGGACTAGTCTACACCTGAGGCAACTACTCCAATAGTTTTATCTCTCTCTCCCTCACTCTCTCTCGCTCTCTCTCTCTACTGTCGCTGCTAAACTTTGGTTACAGGATAACTTTAAGCTAACAGTTACATTAGTAGTCTAAATTCATAAACTACAGTTAAAGAGCTGATTGGTCAATAACTAGTCGAATTATTATATTTATTAATTACGGCGATCGCACCAGTTATGGACAGAGGGTGCAGTGATGGACATGTTTTACTTGAAATTGAAATAATAAGTTTCCGTATCGATTTAAAGGAACCAATTCTCTAGATTAAAGAACAATGTCCTCTATTGACAACTGTATGAACAATGTTTCCAAAAGAAAAGTTTAAAATGTCGTTGTTGTTTATATAGTGCTGTTGAGATCAGCTTGTTTAATACTTTCCTACTAACAGTTTTAATAAGATGAGGTTGAATATTTATGTTATATTATTTTTATAGTTAAATAAAGATTTTAGAATTTTCCTAAGGCATATCTATTACTGGTACCGACCTCCTGTCAGTTACTAGAACAATTTAATTTCGGTATGTCCATTACTAGTGCAAAAAGATATTTTCTTTAAATGGAGATTATAACTGCATAAGTGCACATTTTTTAAATTTTAAATTTTTAAACAGGAAAAGGAGATCCCGGAGATTATAAATGTCTAACGGAAAAGTTTATAATTATAATAATTAGGGCGACATTAGCAAAAAAATACACAAAACACTGGTGCACTTACCCTATTTACTTAGAATAAATTCATAATGCAATAGATCATCTTTTCTCCACAGATTTATTTATGGTCTTATTATATGATACATGCATTAAGGTTAAAATCCTAGATGTCTGTGCCGAACAGTTTTAGGCACCCACTGCAGTTATTGAAGAATGTTTGACGTTGAAAATGATCTAGAGCTGGCGAAAAACGTTAATTTGAAGCTTTATCCCTCCTGCGTTTGCACATTCTACACTATTTATATATATTACACTATTTATTTAATTTAACATATCGAAAAATTGCTTAAGGTTAGAAACACTACACGTGGCGCCGAGGAAGGACGTGTTTATGTTTTAGGAAAGAAACACGCATTCCCAAACAATATCAATGTAGTTCTTTCATTCTGAATGCTGCTATGTTTAATTCTTTAAGTGTTTTGAAATTGGGCAAGAGGTGCTAAATACTGAAGCATATGTTTACATTTTAATATAAAGATATACAAAGGGTTCTGTTTCATTTTATTTATTCAGTTATCAACAATATCCGTCGGACTTTAAGGGACTACGTATAATAAGTATATATTCAATGAAATCTATATATCTTTCATTTTATCTTTTTTTTTTTGTGATCTTACTATCATCTGAGCTATAAAAAGTAAATAAGTCAAATCAGCAAAAAAATATAAATAAATTAAAGGGTTCTAAGGAATAAGGAAATACTATTCTCTGCATTATATGTTATGCATTAAACATTGGCAAATTTTTGATAATTTATTCTCATGTACGTGGTTAGATATAGATCAACGAAGTGCAAAGTTTTTCAAAGTGCGGTGATTAAAGATAATTAATTAGATAACAAGCAGCGATAACTATTGAAGCCAACATTAACAAGCAAACTACTTTAATAAAACTGGGGCAGAACTAAAAACTAGTTATTGTAACAGTGGCTATATTACTTTTGTGAAATAGCAACCCTTGGCCCTAATTAACTCAACTAGATGAGATATTCGTTATTAATTAATGTCCAATAAAGGAAAACTAGCAAAATTATACAATATTCTAAGATAATTAATAGAAATAATGATTGTTTTTTTAATACTAAATTACTTTCAATTTAATTTTTAATTTACAAATAAAATTTCATTTTTTTTTTTTTTTTTGTCAACATCCTCGTGAGGAGAAATATCAGTGATAAATTTGAAATTAGGAAAACAAATTTTCTTCAAGGACGAACCCCTTGAGAATATCAAATATATGTATAACAAAAAAATTATTAGACCAAACATACTACATAAAAAAACAAAACAGTAAATACAATATCGTCAGTTAAAATATATAAGTAACAAACGGAAAATTATTTTCGTGAAAACTGTATTTAAAAATTATAATTATAATTAGATAGAGTCGATTTAGGATATAAAAATGTGTTACTTATACATAAGTAACATCTTCACATACTTGCTTATTCAATTGGCTAATCATATTTAGAGATAAAAAATTCTATTCCAGTCATCAAATCGTCAGAGAAAAATCTTTTAAGTCCAAAATGGTTTCTTTTCAGCGTGGGGAAAGAAAGAGTAAACTTGATAAAACACTTTTAAAATTTAATTTGCATTAATCTTGATCTGATATTTAGTTTGCTAGTTGTAACTAAACTCGAGATATGGAATTTTATCTCTAATTTTACAGCATCGTAAATACTCCTTTCTGTGACATAAAACACTGTATAGGTAAATAAGAATGTTTTTTCCCGAAATCAAATTTCAATATCAATTTTATCTGAAAGCACATATTTTGAATTTCAATTGTTCCTTTGATTAAGTAGTGTTACAGTGAATTATAAGTTTAAAATTTAAC